GCGCAAGTAGCGCATTGGAGCAGTCACTAATAAGAAATGCAGGAATACAGTCCAAGCCAGCACTCATGTTGGGTTTTAATTTTTTTATAGCTGAGTTAACTTCTTTATCAGATATAGTAGTAAGATTTATAGATGGCCAATTAGTTGATGTTGCAAAAGGATCAGTAGTAGGAATAGACGATGAAATGAAAACGCTGGAGAAGAAGTCTTTGAATGCTTCGACAATTTGTTTGGGGGTCGACAGATCTGTTTCATCAAACTGCATTCTACAGGGAATGCGTGTTCGCCCTTTTTTGTCATGAAAGTATTTCCAAAATTCCTTAGGATTATGTGTTAAAGAAGACTGCACCTGATTCAGATAAGATTTATAGTCTCTATTAACCAAAACTTTAACATTTCTACGAATGTTAGAGAACTCATAATAATGAAACTGAGATTTAGTTATTTTAAATTTACGATGAATTATGGTTTTTTGTTTAATTTGTCGTTTAAGTTTAGGTGAGTACCATTTGGGAAAACAATGTCGACCAGGTTTAAGTTTAGGAACGTGTTTATCAAATAATGAATGTATATATTTATAGAGTTGTTCACATAACACGTTGACATTTTGTGTTTCATCTAAAAAATCCCAGTTAGTGAAATGTATATCACGATAAAGGGAGATGAAGTCTGCTTTTTTAAAATTGTACATCTTGGTGTCAGATAAAAATGGATAGTTTGGAGGAGCTACATGGTCAATTAACAGTGAGATATTTAATGCAGGGTGATATGGATCTGGATGTACTAGTGGATTATTATCTTTTGTAACGATGCATTTATTTAAGGCAGGGTCGTGAAAAACTAGGTCTAGACATCGGTTGTCACAATTTTTTATGTTATTAACTTGGCTTAAATTTAAGAATGACATACTCTGTCTCAATAATCTACTTTTCATATCATTCAATGATTGCTCTAGAAAATGCGGAATGTTAAAATCACCAACTATGATTGAATTCTTATTTACTGAAAGGAATTGCTCAAAAATTTCCAGAAATAGCTGGAACATATCTGACTTAATTTTTGGAGGGATATACAAATTTACAATAATCAAAGATCGATTGAAGCACAGAACTTTGCAACAAACTATGTCAACATTTGGAACAGTAGTAAAAATGGTCATGTCCATACTATAAGCAGAAAACTTTGCATTGACGGCTATGAGAACACCTCCACCTTTGGAACAATTTGTTAAACTTTTGTTTCTATCACTCCTGAACACTGTGAAAAAATCTGGAAATAATTCACTCGAGAGAACAGAATCATCAAGCCATGTTTCCACTAAACATACAACATCATACTCAGAGATACAAATATTAGGAAAGAATAAATGGATTTTAGATTTCATACCACGCGTATTTTGATAATAAATTTTGATATCATTGGATTTGTTGGGCAAGGTTAGTTTAAATCACTGTTATCATTAGAAGAAGATTTAGGAGTATCTTGAACAATTCTGGGGATACCATTTAAATATTTAATTGTTAAATCGCTTTCACCACTGTTTATCCGGTTTTGAAGTTCAGATCTTAGTTCCTTTAGAAACAAATTTTGAGCATAGGTTTTGTCATCACGGATAACAACTTTTCGAAATTCTGTATTTTTCAGAACTTTTTGTTTTATCAAAGCAGACTTAGCAAGATCTGGAGAATTAAGTTTTACTCTTAACAACCGAGGACGACCTGGGAATGACTTACCTATACGTGAGACTCTGCCATCCACAACACTAATTAAGGGGTCTACCAAGGATAAAATATTGTTAGTCATAACAGTGTCTGACACTTCCGGATTCTCTGGAACATTTGAGAGAATAACATTAGCGGCACGTAAAGAACGCTCTACTGATTCATGTATTATTGTCTCCCTTGTAAAGGGCGAAATAGAGAGGTTATTAAAACAGCGTGTTCAAGTTTCGAAAAACGCTGATCTACAGAGGCTTTTACATCGGAAATAAGTTTTTAACTTCATTAAATCCTGAAAGTGTGACGTTGCATCTATTACAAACAATTTTGATGTTATCAGAATGAATGGTTCGTATGGTAGATACTTGATTGCGTGATAATCCGAGGCAGACATAATGTAAAGATAGTTTACAGCTACTACATTTGATTAAATCTGTATCATTGACTTCTTTAAAGCAATGACAGCAGGTTTCGTTGTTATCCATTTTGCAATAATAAGAATTAGTTGCATGAAATAAAGGAGGTAGATATCAATAAGTGGGTGTTTTTATGCTGCAAAAACTCAATAAGATGGCGTTGGCACGAGTTACTGCACAGGTACTGAATGCAAACTTACAGCTACAATTACTGCTGACTCATTCGAGTTGCATTAAGCAGAATGTCACTCCGATAATTTATATTCTTAACTAAGTTACACAATAATTAGATCAAATATAACTTGATAAATCGTTAAAGAAAGAGAGACACGAGAGAGCACTACACCTGTTCACGCACGCACGCTCAAGCGAAGCTTAAGTTTATGGAAATGATGCACCGTCTTATTACCTAATAAAATTTTGGTCTAAACAATTTCGGTAGAGACGTGAATCCATTGTAGTCCCGCCAGAAATGGAAGACCAAAAACAGCAACAGATGCAGAAATGACTCAAGAAGTTGAAGCTATGGTCCTCGAGGATCGGTGTTTTAAGGTCTACACAATTAGCAGGACATTAAAAATATCCGAATCTAGTGTAATAACCATATTGCATGAAAATTTGAACATGAGTAAAGTCTCTGCCTGATGGGTTCCACGATTACTAATATCCGAACAAAAACTGCGCAGAATGGAAATTTTACGAAATCATTTGGAAACTTTTGAAGAGAATTGCGATTTATTGTCTCAAATTATAACCGATGACGAGAATTGGGTACACCACTGGAACCCTTAAACAAAATCTGAATCAAAGCAATGGGTTCACAAAGGATCTCCACCACAAAAGAGGCACGGACGGAACCATCTGCCCAAAAACTGATGGCAATCGTTTTTTGGGATATTAGAGGCATACTTCTTATTGAATACATACCTAAAGGCATAACAATAAAAGTAGACAACTATGCTATCACTTTCAAAAATTTGCGTAAGGCAATTAATGAGTAACGGCCCATGCTGACCAACAGAGAAGTGTTTCTGCTTCACGACAATGCGAGGGTGCCTAAGGCGGCTAGAATTCAGCACGTTGTGCATGAATTCAGGTTCATTGGAGTGGATGATTTCCCCTATATTTCTGATCTAGCTGCGTCTAACTTTTATTTATTCAGATTGTTAAAAAAACACCTCCGCGGACCTCGTTTTAAGTCTGATGAATGCCTAAAAGAAGCAATTAAACATTTTTTCGACGATCAGGAACAAATATTTTTTTTCAAGGGCATAAATTCATTGGAGAGTAAATGGCGCAAGTGCGTTGATGTAGGGGGTGATTATATGGAAAAATAAAATTATCACCAAAATCGTACGTCTTTTGTTTCATAGTCAGGTAGAAAATATATTTAGTGGCCCTCGTACATTGGACGTTAACATTTAACAATTTAAAAAATACGTCGTGTTTTTTCATTCACCTTGCTTTTATTTGTGTACCTTCAAAAAAAGTGATACCTTTTTACCACAAGATTTCTCGACCACATATCTGGTCTTGTTTCTAATAAATCGAAATCTATTCTAAGTTTATAAGCCTTCGTTGCTGCTAGATTTAGTTTTATGACAAATGAGTTATTCTAGAAAACTTTGATACAGTCCTACCATTTGGCTATTAATTAGATAAAAATGAGGTGTCACCCAAAAGGGTTGATATCTGAAAAAAAAAGAAGAAAAACTTAAGTTGCTACGAAGACTGGTCATAATCTTAATTGCAAAGTCTGTCAAGACCAGTGCAGGGACAAAAATATTCAGGGAAGCGTGTGAGATACTAGTTAAAGAAACTTCTATTATGAAAGTCCAGAAATTCGTCACATTATCGTTTTATATTTTTTCTGTTGGTTTTTCACATTGATACCTGTTTGTTCTGTCTGTGATTGTTGCATTATTAAATAATTCCTTTCTTAAATTATAAATCGAAAAATAATGAACCTAATTTATTAGCAGGTAATGAAACAACTTTGGTATCCAGAGCACTTTATCCCACTTTGTGTCTTGTGTGTTCTTTATTTAGTTAGTTAATTTTTACAAACAGGCCGAAATGCTTTGAAATTCAGTACAATGTCGTGAGCATCCACCAAGTGGACTAGTGCTTCGCATGCCGAAGGCGAATTTTAAGTTTTTGATAAATACTCTTGACATTTTAACTTTTCAATATACCTTTAAAAAGGGGTAAAATTTCTGAAAATGTTACTTTTTAAATAAAAAGAGCAGAATCCTTAAAATTTGAACTTAAAAATAGAGCAAAATCGTTAAAAGGGTTAAAGGGATTTTTAAACCTTTGAAATATTAGGGCAAACTTCTTAAAAAAGTGTTGTATGCCGAAGGGGCCTTACTAGTAGTTGTTACATATCTAAGCCTACGACAATTAAACGAAATCTCTGTCAGTTTGAGATCCGCATAAAATACGATTTTATAGTTGAATTGTACTGGATACGATTGTCCAGTAAATTATCACCTAAAAAAATGTAGTCAAGATTTCTGAAATCAAAAGACTTAGTAACTGTATTAACGCAAAATTAGGCTGCTAAATCCATTCATAACCACTGATAAAATATATCACATTTTATAGATCTAGTCGATGATGCGATTAAAACTTTTTTCGAAAAACAGAACAAACGTTGCATGCTAAATTATGGAAAGAATGAGACAATTTAAAATTGTATTTTAAAAAATCTAACGCGTACATTTGTTTTCACGTTTTTGTTACATTTTTATACTATTAATTTATTACAACACATTTACTTATCCCATATTGAGAAATACAACTTATAATACCTCATGTCAACTGTAACTCTAAAATATCACTTCTTTACAAAAGATAATTGCAGATGGTAATGGGTTACAAAGATATCGTTTTAAGTTATTTCCCTTACTTAATCTTTTTGGATGGAGTTGAAATACTGAAAGAAGATCGAAAACTTTCCGACGAATTTATGAATGGTTCCGAAAATGCAGAATTAATATTAATGTGCTCGAAGCTTACGGGGCTACCAAAACCACCTAAAGCCGATGTAAGATAAGACTTTAATACCGAATACTAGAAACTTGAATTATCTGCTAGATAATTCAAAACTACTTTTTGTAGAAACAAGTAAAACAAACTATTCATATTGAATTCGTAATGCCTTTGTTTCAAGAAAGTACAATAGAAGACGTAGAAGCTGACGAAAGTGATAAAGATGATGATGACCAAAAAAAGAAAGGAGGTAAAGGAAAATCAGGAAAAAAGGATAAAAAAGATAAGAAAAAAACGAAAGGCTCCAAAAAGGGAAAAGGTTCGAAGAAAAGTTCAAAGAAGTCACCTTACGAAAAAGAAAACGAATACAATCCTCAAAAAAAGAATAACTCTTTTCAAACCGTGAGAAAACCTTGGAATAACAATATGAAATTTCCACCTATTATTCTTCAGTCGCCCGAAAATAATTTAGAAGCTTATAGGGATAGTTTTCGAAGTTGCGTTAACGTTCGTGTGGTATATTTAATGGTAATTACATCTAAACGTAAACGTCTAGAATATATAATTAGTTGTATTGAAGTTTCTTCCACCGAAAAATGATAAAAAAGGCAAAAAAGGTAAGAAAGGTTCGAAGGAAGGTAAAAAAAAGAAAAGCAAATCGTCTAAAAATTCCAAGAAGACTGACAGTAAAAAAGGCAAAAAATCAAAAAAAGGAAAAGAAAAAACATCGAGTGAGCATAATAAATCCAATAAATCAGAAACAAGTGAACGAAGCGAAAAAATTGTACAGAAAGAACCAAAACCACCAACAGAAAAAATTTTGAAACGAGTCACCGTAGCAGAATTTAACTGCAATCTATTTAGTATTACCTGGAAAGACGACATACATTTTTATTGGGCTGACCAGTCACCATTTGGAAATAAAGCTGTCGAACTTTATAGTTATCTAGAAGTATGTCTCAACTGCCAATAATATTAAATTTTATATACTCCACATTTTTAGCGTTTAAAGAAAGAAGCCGAAGAACAAGCACGAATTGAAGCTGAAAAGAAAAACGAGAAGTTAGCCGAAAAACTTGATAAAAAACATGATAAAAAGTCGAAATCCGATAAAAGTGAGAAAAGTAAAAACAGTAAAAGCTCTAAAAAATCCGAAAAGAAGTCTAAGAAATCTAAAAAGAAAAAGAAATCGAAAGCTGAACCTGTAGTGTCTTGCCAGGTGAGTTTTGGTTTGTCACGTCTGGGTCAAGAACTGAAAGATGTCAAAAGTACGACCGACGTTAAGGAAAAAACAAATAAAGGGAAAAACAAGAAGAAGAAGAACGCAAAATAAGCAATAAAACTATTATATTCAGATTTAAACTAAAGTAAAGAAATAAACTTTATTTCTTACAAAATGCATTTTTATCATCATACAATTTTGTATATTTATTTGCATTAGGCGTCGCATTTTTAATGTATTCAAAGCCAATGATAAGAAATGTAATATTTGTTGAAAGTAAACCAGCTTTATAAGTAGAATGGATTTAACTTGGTAAGTACAGTAGCAGTTACGTCGATTATTATTGTTCTGATAAAATAATTGGCTTAACTTGGGGACATGCTATCTATGATTGTTAGATCTGAGGCAGCAGAGAGAACGTTTGCATATTTTGTTACTTGTTAAGTATTTCTTTCAAAATTAAATGCCAACGGACAAAAATAAACAAGACAATGTCGATCGAGGAAATTGGGCCAATAAATATGAATTTCTTCTCTCATGTTTGGGGTATGCTATAGGAATAGGTAATGTTTGGCGATTTCCCTATTTATGCTACCGAAATGGAGGCGGTAAGTCATTTGTTTTAAACATGCGTCGCGCCTAATTTTCCTTATTTTAGGTGCATTTTTAGTCCCATATTTACTGATGTTACTTTTCTGCGGTATTCCTTTATTTTTTCTGGAAAGTTCACTGGGCCAGTTTGCTAGCACTGGGTGTATAACACTATTTAGGATTTCGCCTTTATTCAAAGGTATCAAATGTGCAGTATGCGGATAGTAATAACAAACAGAACTTTAATTTTAGGGGCTGGTTTTGCTATCGTTATTGTAAATATAATTTGCACTGCTTATTATAATGTTATTATCGCTTATCCTCTGCTATTCCTGGCAAACTGTTTCCGAACTAAATTACCATGGATTGACTGCGACAACCCGTGGAATACTGATCACTGCGTTAAGGTATGTGTTTACTTCTATAAACATGTGCATGTGTAAAAAATAGAAATAAAAACAAATACACAAATAACTATTTCACCTGTATTGTAAAAAGAAATCGCGTACGCTTTAAAAGAGGGTTGTTAAAAAAATATTGCGCACTACACACAGAGAAAAAACTTTTTAAATTCATACTTCACCAGAGTTCAGTCACTTTCCGAATCGGCAGCGAAATATCTGAAATAATCACTAAAACGGTAAAATAAACACATACATGTTTTTTGTACGATGTATAATATTAATTACTGCAATACCTATACTTATAAAATATTTTCAAACTTTCAACAATAGCATTTATAAACATTTTACTCGTTTAAGAATATTTTATAATGCGTAATTTCACAATTCCAAGGGGAAATTATTGATGTTTAACTTATATTAGGACAAAAGCCAAGTTAGGTAAACTCTTACTATCAAACAGTTGTCAAAGATATAGAGATATTTTAGTACAAAGAAAACTAATCTGTTTACTGCTGTAAACCAGAAAATTTCATTGTTTCCTCAACAGTGTATTAAATTTGATTATATTCTTGATACGCTTATGTCAATTGATGACACATCAATTGTCTGGTTGGGTTTTTCGTGTTTTTTTTTTATTTTAAATATTTTCGTAAAGAAAAAAGAATTAAGCACACATGACACCTCGCAATTTATGTTTATTTCTCTCCATACTGAAATACATCGACTCGAAAAGGACTTATTCCTCAAATTAGTCTTCTTTACTAAGATTGTGTTATTTCATGTAAAAAATAGCAACATTTTCTAATATTAAGTATTTAAATAATTTTTTTAGAAGGATTGAACTATGTATTAAAAATTAGTTTTACACAGTATTAAGCAACTGTGGCAGCTATATGTTGATAACAATTATTTATTAAGTAATAAGTATCGGTCTCATTATTTTGAAATACCACAAAGTTTTACATGCCAAATACATGGTACGTAAGCAAACATTGTTTAGCAATTCAAAAAGAGATGATTGGGGTGACAGCACACAAAAGATATTCTACTCATGTTTCAAATTCACATCAAAAAAGAAAATTCAATGCATAATAAATTATTTAATATTTGTGACTTTTATGCTACAGTTATTGCAATTGTTTTAAATTTTAACTGCTTGAATCTGAGCAACATCTTTGTAAATTATTTGCATTTGAATTCACTACTCACTAAAATAAGGTAAGGGCGTCAGCAAACAGAATAAATTTTGTACTATCTGACACGTCATTTCCAACTTATGTACCGGTAGGTGTTAGATTTAATTATGGTAAAATCAATAACTATTATTCAGAAAAAAATCTAGTCAGAACTATATGTTATAGGGAATGCTGAACGCAAATTAGATCTTACTAATAACATGAACAGTTTTGACTAGAAAATGTTAGCTTTCTCTAGGAAATGTAACATTTTACTGATTCTTGATTGGCGTCTAGAGATTGTGGTTTCAAGAGGTAAAAATTGAAAAACAGAAATAGAACAAAAAAACACAACTTTAATTGCAGTAAATTATCAAAAAGGTAAAAAACATTTTAACATGCATAAACTATTCACAAGAAATAAAGAGATAAAAGAACTCATGATAAATACATATATGTTTTTGAGGTAATGTTCACTGACTACTCAAGTAATCACTGTCAACATCATAGAGAAGAAAGATACACATTTCCTAACGTTCGGTGGTACCTAAATGTTAGCATTAACTAGGAAAAATAACTTCATATTCTCATTTCCTACTTTCAGGGCACGTTTTAGTAAAAGCTAATTTTAACTAGCGAATCCTAACCATCACTAATTTCTGGCTTTCACTGTAATAAATATACATAAATTTGTAAATAGTTTAAAGTTTATCCTACTTAATTCTATACACACACTGCGATTAAATAAATCGTTTTAATACATATAAGGCTGGTTCAAAACATTCAGATGTACTTTTACCTTCAAAGCGATACTCTTCAAATCGTCGTAACAAAATATTATGCTATTATTATTAAGCCGATATGTATAGTATGCACGTATTCTTTGTTACTAAAAACACCTAACGCAATAATGAATCATCTGTTCAAAACCGTTTATGAATCAGCCTTGATTAAGCATTCAAATTTTCGCAAAAAAATCTGAATGCTTAATGGAATCGCAATGCATCACCACATTTTATACCAGTGTAAGAGTACTGACGTATAGAATCTCCATAAAAATGTTGAATTACTAACGCGAAGATTACTGGTTCGAGTGACTCTCGGGGGTCACAATTTTTTTTAAGTCAAGGTGTTACTTATGCTACTGCATATCATGTTTTTTTCTGTACTTTAACAATTTACACATAACTGTATTTATTCGACTGTACTACTGTACGAGGCGAGGGAAGTTCTATTTAAATAATTTTAGACCAGTTTACGAAGTGCATTAATTAAGTTCGCGGAAGTCACTTCAGGCAGTGTTTTATATCGTACATCGCAACATCGCTTTGTGTTTATTTTCATTTCTTGAAACAAAGTTAGTATAATGTTGCTGTTACAAATTCATTTATGGGATATAAAGTCTAACAACAATATTACGAAATCATTTATTTATTATTTGGTTGAGTTATTTTTAATTGTTGTGTTAAAGGGGAGAAATTTTAAAACTGCTTTAATTAGAATAATGCCAAAATATTGAATTTCCGTAATTAATCTGCATGATATGTTTTTTGTTATAACAAATCTCTTTGCAACCAAAATAATAATCAAAATTATCTTTACTTGATTACCTAAACACTAATCGGCCATTTAGTTTGTTTGATGATGTGACTGATATGCTACATTATATACTAAGTGACAAAACTAACAGAACACCATAAAGGAATGACAATTTTGCAATGAAATTTTATATACAGTGCGTCTTTTTTAAAAGTGGGCATAGGGATTCCCATGTTAAATTTTAGAGCCCATGTTAACTTTTGTTAGGGTGAAAACTCAGAAGAATTTTTACGGAGCAAATAGCCTTAAAGTTCTACTTTCATTTTCACTACCACTTTTTGCAGTAATTGGCTAATTTGTGCTTTAAAAAATAAAAATTATTTTGATTAAAAACGTTTGGTATATCATAGACGGTTTTGACTTAACATTTTAACTTGTCACTTGTCATAATTTTGATTTAATCATTAAATAGCTTTATTGCAGTTTTTAGAAAAGAAACAGAATGATGGAATTCAAACATAAATGAAGATAATAAAAGATAATTTCACTGAAATTGCGTTTTTAATGTCCACGGTCGAAAAAATCTGTGTTTATAAATCTGCCGTAAAACTTCTAAAATTTTCAAGGATTGATTAGAATTTGAATGGTGTCGGTCCAGTAGTTTTAAGAAAAATTAGTATATTATTAACCAAGGTTGTGAAGACAATCATTCTAGACCGAGCGCAAATTAGAACCCGAGACGCACAACGTCGAGGGCTCTTATAAAGCGCGAGGTCTAGAATTACCTTCACAAACGTGGTCAATATACTATTTTTCTCACTAATAGAAACCGTAAAACAATAAATAGGAAAATTAGACCTTCAATTTTTTGACGCAAAATGATTTTGTTATCATTTTTAATCAAACCTAAAATAAAAATAATTTTATCTTCCACCGTGTACCAACTACCATGCATATACTCAAGTAATGTTAGTTGCATGCATTTATTCATTTTAAGAAATAATTACATCAAGTAATTGACAATTACATGCTTTAATAATTAGACCTGGACCCAAACTATTATCAACCTTTCGCGGTTTTCGAGTCCACGAGAGTATAAAATTAACTTGGTTTGCACTCACACCAGACAAACAACAAGTGACGCATCAAAACCAAAAACGAGTCTACCTTTCATCCATTAGTTATCATTACGAAGCCTCTCACCAACTTAAAAATTGACATTCATTAATTCCATAGACGAGCTACCAAACTGAAGTTGCACATGGTTGCCTATGTTTAACGATTTTCTTAATTTATTTTTCAAATTCAAGTTATTCAAATGCAGTTTCGAGACGTTGATTTTCTCACAGCTCGAAGTTTGAATTCAAACTGGGACACCACATTATGGAGACATTTATTAAGATCTATGGAACGATATTAGGGCAAAGGCTGGAAAAAGAAGAAATAGAGATTAAATTTATATTAAAGCATAGTTTGACTAGTAACTTATTAGACTTAGGCATGTTTTACGGCAGACAGTCTAAGTTCAATAAAACAATTACTAGTCCACATTTAGCTTAAAAATTAAAACTCCGTGATTAGAAAAAATCCAGTAAAGTATTAGTAACCACAAAATATTGTAATAAAAAACATTATTAAAAGTTTGAAGTATAACGAGAAATTTTATAAAAAAATAAGTGAACAGACATATTAGCAGGTTCCTTTGAATTTTTATATAAATAAATTTGATGTTTTTTGCTACAAAGATATTTGTGCCCATCGTATCACGATCGTGAAACATTTTTTGCTGAAAGACTTGTGTACTCTGACACCACGCTAATTCAAGTGTCCTCTGAGAAAATTAGTATTTATTACCAAAAAACTTACATCATTTAAAATCCTCAAACGAAATTCGTCTAGCACGAACTTTTCTACGCTGTCACAAAACACCCATAAAATATAATGTAATTTCCAGCTAGGTGGTCAGAACGCTGCGAAGAATCACGCAAACGATACGTTTCTCCTGCACCAAAATGAAACATTTGAAAATAGGATGAAAACTCCAGCGGACGAATTTTTCCAGTAAACAAACACACTTGATAAAATGACATAATAAGTTACAATGTTTCAGTTATCATATTTTGCAGATCTCTGATAGTATCGAAGATCAAGGTACAATCGTTTGGCCTCTACTTTTATGTAATGTGTTAGCTTGGGTCATAACTTACCTCTGCATAATGAAAGGCGTGAAAAGTGTCGGAAAAGTTGTTTACTTTACAGCCACTTTTCCGTTTTTTGTTTTATTTGTTCTTTTAATAAGAGGTTTAACGTTACCTGGAGCATGGGATGGCGTTTCCTTTTATATATACCCCCAGTGGCATCAACTTACGAATTTAAAGGTCAGTACACATTATTTATCTTACAAATATGTCAAGAAAATTTTAGGTGTGGGCTGACGCAGCGTGTCAGATATTTTTTTCTTTAGGACCAGGTTGGGGAGGAATAGTTAATATGGCTAGTTATAACAACTTCAGAAATAATAATCAGTTGTAAGTTTTTTTTAATTCCGTATAAAGCATGTCGAATTTTATAAACATTGACGAAAAATTTCTACATATAATGATAATGATAAAGAATGATTATTCAAAGGAGTAAAAGCTAGATGGGATTCAAATAATTTTATTGTATGAAGCATTGAAACATTTATTGCTTTTTGCGAAAACGCTGAACATCTTAGTGAAAATAAATAATATGTTATGTAACATGTAGTTTGCTACAAATTTACAGAATACTTTTAGTTTTTACGACGATATTTATGGCTGAATCTAGCTTATAATAAGGAAACATTTCTCGTGACCTTCTCCTTGCTTGTTCGACAAGTAAAATCTAAATTCGTTTGTGAACAGAACATGCTTTACTTCAGTCTGTATGCCACAGGGCAAATTTTGCTCGGCTTTTCTTACCTCAAATATGACTTCATCAAAAAGCTGTTGATAAATTTTCTCTTCAACTTTGCATGACTGTTTGTTTAGTAACGGTCGTAGTTTTTTTGCAAGTTCTTTTTAACATTGTAAACTACAAGTCTTAGCAAAATTAAACACAGGACTTAATATACAATAAATAAAACAAAATGAAAATTATACTGTTTTTATTTTTGAAATCTATAAAATGTATAAAATTAGTGAAAGAAACATATTCATCTCTGACTGATACATCAATATTCTTGAAGCTTTGGTTCCGATACCGTATATTATTATATTATTCGATTGCGCAAAGTTTATTAATCAGTTACTTTTCACAAGACAATATGTCCGTAAAATTACTGAAAATGACTACATCAATAGAATTACAAATTTTAATCTACCAAAATTCAGGGAAGAATTATCTAATTTGTATGATTTGAACGAAAATTTAAATTAATGTTATATTATATATAGGAAAAGAGATATGCCGAGAGCTTTAGAAAGAAGACAAATTGAAAGAGAAACAATAGGAATTTAGGTACAACAATTGGTCGCACACAATTGATCATGCGACAATTGATCGCAAACAAACTTGTGGCGACGTCAGTTGATTACAATAAATTTGAAATAGAGGTTGGATGTAAACACCGAATTAAAAAACAAAATTGTAGTTTGTTAAGAAACGTAATTGGTAGTTGTGTTTTAAAAATTAAAAAAAAATAGGAGCTTATACCACCTAGGTAATTGTTAATGAAGGTTTTTTTTTTAATTATCATTTAGAATAAAATTATTACCATTTTGCCGTTAGTTCATTATAATAAGTAGGCACTCATCACAACAAGTATTTATTGTACTTAACTAGATTTGATAAAAAAACCTATACAAGGTTATTCAGCTAAGATGACCAATCTGAGCTTTTTTGGAGCGGCAACCCAAAATACGGATTATAGTTATTTCTGGATTTCGATAAATATTTGAAAATTAATTTGGATACCAGTGTGTGAACCCGGTAGAATTGTTGCCGTGAACATAGTAGGTAATTGGAAGAATTGCCAGTTGCTCGGTGGAGAAGTTATTATTATTACAATACTCCCCTAGCTTACGCTCGGTATGTAAAAAGATGTCTTGGCCGTCCAGTCCTTACCAGAAAACGATTTTTGTTGATCCGACTTCATTACGACTATTATCTTTAAAAACAGTACTTCCTCTGGATTCATTGTGCTGGCATAATAAGTACAAAATCGCCATTTTTATAAATTAAATTGAATTTCTTCAAGTAACAAATAATATGTCCACATTTTAAAATATTGACTAAAACCGCAATCAAAAAATACTTTTCAATAATAAAAAGGTAAAAAAGTTTTAAAAACCTCTAGCATATAAACATAAGCCGGTCAGGATGTTTTTAGACAAAAGTGAGCCATGAAACTTTTTCTTTACGTTTAGATACACTGATTCATTGACAAAACAGTTTTTCTGTCAGTGCATAAAACTGACGTTCACTTGAGGTTGATTTACTATATTTATTGTCTTTTAGAAATGAACATTATACTTACTAGAATGGAAAATACAAAGTGTGAAATTACTGACAATAGTGTTGCAGTTTTTGATAGATTTTCTAACTTTACATTAAAAACAACTTAAAATACTAATCTGATAAATTTCATTTTTCATTAGGGATCTTTACATATACGAAATTGGTTGCCAACCAAATTACTAGATTTACATGGCCTACTTTTGTCTAAAACATTGTGAATGGTATATACAATATACATACTAGATAATTACTTTTGTACACATAAGAAAGCTAAATTTCGTTGTTTTCATCGCATTATATTTTATTCGATCTTGTTTTTGATGAGCTTACGTGATACGATGGCAATTAAACTGGTAGAATGCCACAAATCACTTAGGAGATTTAATACAAAAACAACATAAATCAACAGGTAAACGAATCTTTAATATGTGGTACCAGCATTAAAGTTTAGCAGAAAAAAAAAGATGAGTGTCAGTATTGTGTTTCCTGAATGATAAACGACGCAATAAGTCTGAAATATTTTTTTTTATGATTCTCTTTGAATAATCTGCAGCTAGCCCAACAAAGAAATTTGTTGCACATATTTTGTTCAAATTATTTTTTAAATCTATTTTTAAATTAAGTAACGGTAATTACGCCATTCGTAACTGCTATGAATAATTTAATAGTGAAATTCTCCCATATAAAAATATAATCTTTAATATCTATATTATGTATTTACAACTGCATAATGCGACTTTCTATCACAATACTGTCTATTTATAAAAATTTATGAAATAGTATTGTACACTATAGCACTATATTGAATTTTTTTTTAACATTTACTGCTGATCAATTTTTCTTAATTTACGTAAATGCAGAACAATTTATTTTAAAAATGACATCTTGGCATTTATAAAATACGTAAAAAGGACGTCAAAAAGATATTGTTGCTTCGTGAGTCATCTCAATACAACCGTTACTTTTTTTTATTTTGAAAACCTTTCTGGTGAACTTGTCCGTGCACTTCACTTTTAGTTTTAAGTTTAATTTAAAATGATTCTCGTTTTTTTGCGTGTAATTTTAATATTAAATTTTGTTATTTTTTAGTATTTCTTTTGTCGGTCGGTTTCGGTAAAATCCTATGTCTAAAGTAACATAAGTATAATTTTGATTTCAGTACTTTGTAATGATACTGGTTTTTACCAAAATTCCAGCAGTTGCACTGGAGTGAGCTACAAAATAGAGTACGATTTTGTTTCCAATGAAAAAATTTTTGCTTGTCCCATTTGCGTAAAACAGTTTGAAAAGATCCATTTAAGTAGATAATAGAGGTAAGAAATACAAAATTATGCAGTTTTCAATATGTTAAATAATGTCGAAACTTTAATCTAATAATTTTTGTGATGAGAACGGTGGTGATTTTTCTTATTTTTTTTTACCACATACTAATTTGAAGAGGTTCTTAAAATGTAGTTTTGTACCTACAATATTTTAAAATACATCTCATTTAAAAGTAAAAGATTATCAAAAAAATATATCTAAAAAAACTAACCAACAATAAAAATCAAATACAATCTTATGACACAAATTCACAGCTTGCAGAATTAGATTTATTATGTGTGTAGGTACTGTAAAAGTGTTGTCATTTTTTATTGTAACTACAGAAATTTTGTTTCCTTAATTCAACACAGTCACTGATCTCATTCGTGCTAGGCAGACTAGAGTATCCATCACAAGTATTTCGAAAAAAAAACACTATTACTACAATTACAATTTTTGTGAGTATTATGCTTTTTAGTTTCGTTTAAGCGTTACAATAAAAAAAATAAATTTAGAGGTAGTCTTAATCTATCATAAAAAAAAAGATCTAACGAAATGGCAAGACTTGTAATATTCAGTTTAGTCGTTAGTGCTGCACATCTTGAGCATTCAACATTATGTATCAAGACTAATTATCACAATTTCATGTTCTTCATATTCGATTTGTTCAGGAGGTCTAATACTTTCTTCGTCGTCAAAATTGAAGCAATGTTAAATAATTCAAGGATGTATAATAAATAATCATCAAATGTTGTGGTAATAAATTTTTACGTCCCGAGCGTAAGCTAAGGAAGTACAACAATCGAGTCCATCAGACGAATTGCCACTTTCATATTTTCTCGACGTTTCATAACCCCTAGACTACGAAAAATGTGATCACCGTTTCCCACTGCAGCTACCGTTTGCGCTCCCACAGCACGGTAGCTACAGGGGTGTTATTTATACCTTCGGCCAATTTTTTATTCACAAAATCTGCAGCTGGTAGTAATTCTAAAGAAGCTCATAACTGTGATATAGTTTTTATATTATTTGAACATTATGAAGAAATTATGAGTTTCATGTTTTATTGATTGCTGCTGTGCTCATTCTATAGTGAGTAAACATTTCTCTCTGAAAAATAGTAAAATTTTGAACTAAAATGTTTTATAAATCAGAATCCAATCTCCGAGTGTAGCGAACCAACATCGACTTTATTTAAAACACAAACACAGCTAACTTTGTTACTGATTTGCAGAGATTCAATTCTTGTCCCAATTCTCAATTGCGGCACAAGTATTTTTGCTGGGTTCGTTGTGTTTTCTGTAATCGGTTTTATGTCTCACGAGACTGGTTTGCCGGTATCAACAGTTGCAACAGGCGGACCCGGACTGGCTTTCGTCACATATCCGGAAGCAATCACAATGCTACCTTGGCCTCACATTTGGGCGATACTGTTTTTTCTTATGCTTTTCTTCCTTGGTCTAGACAGCTGTGTAAGTAGCAGGATTTCATTGACTTTGAACTTTAATTGTTGTTTGTTGTAGTTTGTACAAATTGAAGCAATCATTTCCAGTGTGATTGATGAATACCCGAGCCTCAGAAAACACAAAATGATGGTTACTTTTGGATCGTGTGCAGTTACCATGCTCATCTCTACTATGTTTGTTAGAAATGTAAGTTTGTTGTTGGTAATTTAACTGTAAAATCAAAGAAAAGGAAGTCAGCAAATTACCTGAAAATTTTCAATTATACCATACTGTAACAAAATAACTCATAATGAGTATTTTTGAAATTTGCAGACTTAAAGATGAAAAAAAAACCCTGTACTTACTCCTTGCGCCCAAAATTAATTTGCTATAACCGTTATATAGTTTAATCGCGATGTTACGACGTCTTTAGCTGCCGTTTTAAATATATATGTACAAGTGGATCAAAATTAAGAAATGGGACTAAGATCATAAGATCTCAAAGGCCATATATGCTCCATATTTCAACTAACGATTCGATTGTTAAAAAATGCTCGTAATATGACTGTTGTGGTCCCAGCTGAATGCGCTGTAGCCCCGTCTTGTTAAAAATAAATTATTCTAATTCCCCCAAAATTAACTTCCACCCTAACGAAAACTTCCATGTCGTTGTCAAATATGGTTTTATTAAATACATGCTTGTGTAACAAATGTGAATTTCAACACAATATTTCATTAAGACAGAGCTAAACCTGGACTTCTACAACTTCAGTTTAACGGTTTTTTCAACACTTATCGCATATTTAGAATTTAGTGTAAAGACATTATATTTATATTTTTTACAGGGTGGAATGTATCTTTTACAACTTTTCGACTGGTATGCAGCATCAATATCTGTTATTCTCATTTGTTTTGTCGAAGTATTTGTTGTTGGATGGACGTACGGTATTAAAAATTTTATAAGAGATTTAGAGTTTATGATCCAAAAGAAAATACACTGGCTGTGGATTCTGTTATGGAAGATAGTTAACCCCATCATTCTCGCTGTAAGTATTCATTTACTATCATTATTATTACAAAATATTTAATAACAATTTCTACAAACAATTTTAATTACTTTTAACTGTAGAGGAGATCCAACAAATATGTAATTTGATAATAAATTTACATTCTCGAATTCTAATAACGGTAAATTTTATTAAAAAAAAAACTAGATTAATTTTATGCCCTATTCCATATTAATACATTTACATGAACACGATATAATTATGAAAAGTAGTAGGCTGTTTACTAATTTCGTAAACATCAGTTTCAGAATGAAATTTGCAATTTACATTTAAAGTGAAGTTAATTAATACATATATTTACTGAACTGTTTTAGTCAATATTTATTACCACAATTGCCTTTAACACAAGAATTACATACCGAGGCATCACTTATCCCGATTGGTCTATCACATTAGGGTGGTGTTCATGTGGAATTTCCATCATATGTATTCCTCTTTATATGGGATATAGACTTTTATATCTAGAAGAAGGTGACCTTGTAGATGTAAGTTTTTTGTCACCTTTTTTTACGTCATTTATATACCTGTTTTTAGAGAATCAAATCTGCTATTAAACCGACTCTAGAATGGGGGCCCGCTGACAATGAACACAGAAAAGAATGGTTCAAATTGGTTCATTACGATAATATTAGAAGTAAGTATTTAAACTGTAATTACTATATTAAATCTACATAAATTTTCAAGATGAATCTCACAAACTAAATATTTTGTTGATACCTGATATATTACTGTTGCAACAATAATTTTTAAAATTTTGTGAAAAGCATGGTATGAAAACAAAAAAAAATATATCGAAAATGGTGAGACAATTTTTTTGGTTTCCATTCATTCTAAATTAAAACTTTTGTGTTGTGTCAATCAGGCTGGTACTCGTTTTTCTTAACCGTACGAATATAAAACAAACATGGTTGCAGCAACGATTACTTGCTCTTTGAAACTGACCCTTTCCTGGCAGCTATAGTTTGTGTAGTACCTCGCAGCTAATAGTTTTTGTCTCATTTACTTATAACCAAATAATTACTAGTTACTATGCCATCTACATATATAATCATAATCGTTATATTTTTAGTATGTTGTTTATTGTTACTGCTGGAAAATGCTTTTATAATATCATAATTAAGCAAATGAAAAAGCGATGTTTAATTTAAACACACTCACCTTGAGCCATTAAGTGATCTTTTTTTTTCTGTTTTTATGTAGACTTAATTCTCTTGTAGAAGTGTTGGAATGAAACAATATACCCCTGTATTAACTTTCTCATTTGAACTAACAAGCTAAGCACGATTAATATACACTTGCAATATTTTATGTAGGTCAGTTTCCCCAATTTTTTAATAACTATAATAAATAATAAAAATAACTCATATCTATTAATTTGTCCTACAAAGAAGATGAGAACATGAAAAATGTCCGTCAGTGTATAATAGAACTACATACTTAGAATAAAAAATTGGAAACTGGTTTCGACTTTTAAATAAAGTTAGTTAGTGTACGAAAAAATAACAGAAAAGGTCTGGCAAATTCCGTTAGTCACTACATTATGATAAATTTAACTGTTTTGATTTAAGAGTTTTAGATCTGGTTTGCAGAAGCTTAATTAAATATTTGATTGCGATTAAATTTTCATCGGTCACGTGCTACTTTAATGGCGTATTAAAAAACCACGTGACGGACTCTAGGCCAATCAGACGTCGCTAAACGCCTCGTTTAATTCGTGATTAACTTAATCTCAATTAAAATATTCTATATAAGGGCCCTTAAAGTTACAAATTTATTTAATTTTTAACTATTCCTTAAAATCGGTTGACATTTTATTTTGTAAAATGGACATTAAAACTGTGCTTTATAACACAGTTATAAAGCACAGATCATATATGATATCGCGATAATGTTGTATTTCTGTAGAATGCGAATGCAAATCCGCAAGATCCAACCGCATTTTTGCAAATTTTATAGTAAAGTGAAGCTACTGTTTATACGTGCAGGTTATTTTACACTTCACTACTTCGACACCCGAACAACCGTTCATTAAGGAAAATTGTTCTTACAGATTTATTTTCTTTTTCCAGACTCCAGCGCCGATGCAAGCAAAGATCCCTACCACGAACAGTTTGTTCAACTGGTTACATTAAACACCTAAACCTCCGTTTCTAGTAAATTATTATGTAAAACAGAACACCTTTACACAAATCTCGTTTCTGTTGTAATAAAACGACCCCTAAATTAGAATAATTATATTATACTGAAACTCTTGCAAACATAATTGTATTTTCCTTGCGCTTCTAACTTTATATAACCACTAATATTTATCCGTCAAATGTGTTGTTTATTTAAACCATTGTTCCTAGACAAAGAAGAACAAGTGACTGCCATTTTGTTATCACCAATTTTTAATTTTGGTAAGGGTAAAGTAAATAAATATAACAGTTTCAAATAAATTTTTAAAGTAATGATTGTGAGACTACTTACTAGATAATATGACTTCAGTGAGCACATTTGGTTTCTTGACATAACGCATTACCTTGTCTGTTTTTAACTTGTTCCCTTTTTATGCATAGGTACGTACGTATTACGTATTGATAATAAATAAATAGACCGCTTTGTTTTAATGTACACACGGGATGATTCACAAGACCACGATAACGACGTAATTTTAATGCAACCCAAAATACATTTGCAACCAATCACTGGATCCTACAAAATTACAAAAGTTAAATACAGAACCATGTTACCAAAAAATAATTAAAACTTCTAATTATTTTACTTTAATTTATTAATTAAAAATACAACTAATACAACAATGGTCATTTACTAAACATTGCTGGACTCGACTGCCGAAAGATTATGTAACCTGAGTTAAAATTTCTGAATTTACCGAAATGCCGGCAATTACAATTCTCTCCAAAAGATATCAACTGCGAATCGGCTTTTTGTATAAGTACTCAACTTTTAATCATTGCTCACAAAAAGAATTCCAGAAGTCAGGACTCCACGCTGGCTAATAACAAGCATTTCCTCTTCCTATCCACATATGTAGGTATCACCAAATGTTTGGTTAAGTAATTTCGTACATTTAACAGATAATATGGTGGAGCAAATTTTCACAATTCAAGGAATGTACTAATTTCAGTGATACTGATACAAAGTACTCGAAAAATATCTTTGTCGGGGTATCACTGAGCATACAATTTAGACGGTGCTAACCCATTTCATCGACGTTCACCAAAATTTTAATCACGTTCACTTGTTCGTCAGTGGAGTAGTGCATGACTTTTTTCTGTTTTTTCATAACAAAATGTAAAAAGTTCAAGAGGAAGTCATATTTTTCATGCACGATTTTTGTTATAATAAGTACGAGTATATCGCTAAAAATTCATCCCTACAAACTTAATTACAAATCCCAAACAAAATGAAACTGAAAAAGGGTGGTTTATAAAAAGTGTATGTGTATGACGTCAAAAGTTCTTCAAGGTATTACTACTATGTAAATGGGCCTGTATATATACCTACATTATACAGATAGAGAGTTATTTAGCTAAGATGACCCATCTGAGTCGTTTAGAGCGGCAACCCAAAATACCGATTTGACTTGTTTGTGGATTTCAACAAATATTTTTAAATTTATTTAGGGTCCGAGTGTGTGACGCTGGTAGAAATGTAAATCTGAAACTGTTGTAATTTAATCAAATTAATTTTAAAATATTTATTGAAATCCAGCAGCAACTGTAATCGCTATTTTGGGTTGCCTCACTAAAAGGCTCAGTTGAGTCATCTTAGCTGAATAACCATGTATATTTGTTCTGAATTCATATAGGTATACATGATGATTCAGTGTAAATGACGAATTTGATCTGTCTTGAAAGGTATCCCAAAATACATTATTTTTTTATTCCTTGAGTCATCGTAGATTTTAAAAAAATATCATAAATCCTAGTTGCATTCCTATGTCATTGTCAGTTTTGAGCAGTTCAAAATTATCTACAAAATTGCCAATACCTACAAAAAGAACATGATCTTAATTTATGGAGAATGTCAAAACGCTCTAGTGGCAGGATCTCAAACGTAGACATCCAAAGATAAAATTTTTAAAAGGTATGAAATGAAACCAAACCAAGGAGTGTTTTAACCGCTACAGATTTGAACTGGTTTAGAAAATCTTTACATTGGGCAACGCGCAATTGAGAGAGAAATTGGTATAATCAATTTTCTGTTTGTTGAATATTAAAAACTAACAAGTTCTAGTGTTCTACGTTAGTTCTTGAACTATGAGAGATTGAGAGATTACCTTTCCACGAAGATTGGCATTTGCAATTTTGTTCGAGAATAACTGCTTGATGATCCCAATTTTATCAGGATCATTTTATTTAGTGATGGGGCCAACTTTTCTAACAATGGCAATGTAAACAAACACAATTTACATTATTATGCTTCAGAAAATCCACGCCGGATGCGTGGAATTCATTTTCGGAATTTTTATCAAAGTGTGGTGTGGCATAACATGCGCAATAGACCTTATTTTTACGAAGAAATTGAATGGAACAATTATTTACATTAAGAACCTATTTAGAATCACGAATAGGAAATTTACCATTAGAAATTTGTAGAAATTTTTGGTTCCAACACAACAGAGCGCCGCCCCACAATCACCATAAAACCGTTGGTTATAAAACGAATTCGACAATAATTGGATTGGTAGAGATTCAATTCACTCTTGATCTGCCCAGAGTCCAGCTCTAATGGGACAAGACTACTTATTGTACTGCCATTTTGAAAATTACTATCACCTTAGAGTTTGAAGCTTAAAAGACTTTTCATGTCGCGACCAATGTCTGTATGCCAGCATTGTCAAAAATAACGAAACTAAAAAAATAAGATTGCAATACTTAAAGGTACAAAGTGATCAACAATTGCTGTTTCAGTTGGTGTCAATATGAATTTTGCTTGCAATTGGTAGGCCTGTCACTCTACCGTACTTCCTGTTGTCAAAACTGGTATAGTTGACAGTGACATTTAATTAACAGCAACGTTTGTTTAATTAGTAATAAAATACATATCCAAACTTTCATGAGCGCTTAAAAGTAACGTAGCGCCAAACATTTGAATCATGTTTGACAACAGCAGCGCAAGAAAAGCTTCTCAGAATTGGTTAATTCTATTGCCAACTCAACCAGTATTTGTTCATCATGCGATTTTCACACTTTATTACAATGGAATGGCATTAACGTTCAAGTTTATTTGGCCGAGACTGTGTATTTGTCTTTTCCGTGGATTCGTAAAAAATATTCCACTAAATCAAGATCGAGTTGTGGAAGGCAATTAACTAACGTGTGTTATAGTTTTTCTTAATAATTAAAAAAATGTTGTTAATATATTACGAATGTTTAATAAATCGCGAAAATTATCATACATTAAGGATTCTGTTTTTTGGGTCTAGGAATATAAGTACAGTTTCACCTTGACAAACTGAACTGTCACCACTTAGATTAAAATGTTAATGTCAAAACCACAAGATTGAAGTAAAATTATTCTTGTGTTTCTGATAATGTATTTTCACCGTTAAATTTCCAATGAATATCACTATGTTTTTGTTCCAGTGTTTTACCTTGTCGTCAGCTTTTAAATTGATATTGCAAACACTTGTTTTATATTTATTTCTAAAGTAATAGTAATTTTGAAAGGTCCTAAATAGTTATCTCTACGATTTTTTGCATATAGTATTTTTAGATTTTAGTGTATAAACTAGGGACTCTGATTTAAATGGAAGATTTTGACAAAATAAAGCATATCACATTCATTAAACAATTAACCGCTTACTGCATGTCTAGTTGTCTTGTAAATTGTCTTAACGATTATGCACGTAATACAACTTACTCAAGAAGTTAAATTAAACACTTTTAAAATATCGGTACATACCTGTAGGCGTCGTGCAGAAACCTATATTGGGTCGGTTTCTATTTTCTACATATGTCACTGATGTTGAAACAAAAACTTTACATGCCTTTTTAACAGATTTGCAGGGATAATCTTAAAATTTAGGGATTAGTGTTATGTCATTAACTTCAGTTCTGAATTAATGCCACTCTCTTCGAGTTACTTTATCGACAATAAAATTCTGAAAACAATGGTTAACGACTTACGCGTCAATTTAGATAGTAAATTATCTTTTGTCTCCCACTACGATTGTATATATAGTTGCAAAAGCAAATAAAACACTGGATTGTATTAAAACATTTGTCAAAGATTTTAAAAATCTATAGACTTTCTTTACTGTGTTGGTTTGGTCCGCCATGGAAAATACATGTATAATTAGATCTTCAAATAATGAGAGCAGAATAGAATTAGTGCAGAACAAACTTTAAATTTGCAGGTATCACCTTACCTTCCCAATAATGTTAAAATAGTATACCTGCTGCAGTCAGGATTCGAATTCAGATCGACTTTTAAATTTAGAGTCCATTCCAAACATACGTATGATGTATGTAAATATATTCGGATTCAGATTTCGAATTTTACAAAGTTCGGATAGCATTCGAACTTGATCCGGAATCTATATTTTGATCACAGTATCCGATAGTAATTCTGAACTTTGATGTTTTTAAACTATTTAATGCGAATTCATTATTATTAAGTTTAAACAATGAACGACAAACTTAAAATATTTAAAAAGAAAGATATGTGTATTTCATGATTTCATGTTGTTAACACAGCAAAGAATGCAGGTAGTTTTGTTATCACTTATCACAAAACGAATAAAATATTATATTATTATTGTGTACTAGAAGCCACATACTTTAGATATTTTGTAGGGGAACTAGGGGCTTGTTGTAACAGGGGTAAGTTGTAACACTACATTTTTACCCTCAATTTAAACTCTTTAACGTCAGGTATTTTACTGTATTTAATTCTTGCACCATAAGACATCATGTCATCACAACCACTGTTCCTTGAGCCAGCGCAGTGAGTGGATCTGTGCACGTGTTTCGTTTTGGCCAAGTAATGTAAAATATTGCTTTAGTAAAATTTGGTTTTTCGTATCACTTATTAATTAATTTAAAACTTTTAGTTTGGCATGTAGCTCAAAAATTACTCAGCTTTGATATTCCTTACACATTTTGATGCTAAGCCACATAATTTTGTCGAAATCTAATTAAATGTAGAAAATTGTGCTACGGGGTATGTTGTAACAATAGCTTTAGGGCAAGTTGTAACATGTTACAACTTATCCCAAATTCACTTCTACAAATCTTGTACCTAGCATACGAAAAGCGAGCCAAAATTTTGACCTATGCCATATATCGCTTTCCAGATA